GTGTTTAAATTCAAAAGCTATTATGGATACAAGTAGAAAACATGACTATGTGATCTTTTCGATATTGTAGCAGTAAGTTGGTTCTCATTTTAGTCAAAATTATATTTCCAGCATTAAAGGCTGCATGACATATTTGAAAAAAGTTACAATGGAATTATAATTTTGACCATTATTTTCATTAAAAAAACTTGCATTATGGGCTCATCCCAATGGTGGGATGCTATTCACATATGGCACATAGCACTGGAAGGTTACAACTTATTCAGAAGGAACAGACTCAACAGAAGGGATGATGAGTTACAGTGTATGAAAAGAAAAAAATAGTCAAGAATTCAGGAAGCAGTGCATGGAAATCCTGTTGAAAGAATCTGGTAAGTGATACCACCATGGGAGTATATCGCAGACCATTTAGGCAGGCAGAAGATGCAGATAAGGCCTTCTGTGTCAAATGACTAATTTTTCAAAGAGACATGCAACAGTAATAATGATTAATTAATTGCATTTTCCTGACATCTGCCAAGAATCAGAGCCCCACAAATTATTCTGCTCTCTTGGTGATAACTCCATTTGTCAGCAGGCAGAAGAAAGAACAAGGGGGCCTGCTATCCTGGCCTTACTACACACCAACAAGGTGGCATTAATTGAAGAAGTGAAGGTGACTGATACCTTGGTGGATAGTGATCATGCTATTCTTGATTTTGTGATATTGATTGGAGGAGGAACTAAGAAGAGGCAGACCTGCATACTAGACTTCAGAAGATTTTGATGAATTCCAAGGGAAAGTAGGTTGGGCCCAGTAGCTTCAAATGCTTAAGGAGGAAAGTGCCATGAAGAATGAGAAATCCTATGAGATAGTGAAGGCATAATTGCAAGCAACTCTTACAATAAGGAATAATGAAATCTAAAGAGGGAAACATGGATATATGCAAGATTCTCTAAAAAGATGAAGAAAAAAAGGAACAGGTAGTCCCCAGTTTAAAAACAAGTTCCGTTCCCAAGGTCTGTCCTTAAGTCAAATTTCTATGTAAGCTGGAACAGTATTATTGTATAATACTGTATAAGTAGTATTATGTAATTAACTT